AAAATGTGTGGGAAAAAGTCTACTTTGACACATAAATAAAATTACAACAGCATGTGGTACCATTAGATATCTCTCAAATTAGCAAAATATTTTTTAAAATTATAATTATACCCAAAGCTGACCGTTTTATGGTAAAACTGGTATTTATTTCCCTACACTTGTATCACTATATAAACTGTTTGCGCTGCAATCCCCAAGGCACGTGGTTCGAGGCCACCAGTTTCTCCACAGGAGAAGGATGGGCAGTCTCCTCCTGTGCAATTTACTGCCTCTGAAAACCCGCAAGAGGGTCAGCTATGGGTCAGTTCTGACTCAATAGTACACAACCACAACAACATTCATGTTTAAAATAAAAAACAAAAGCTTCAGGACTATTTACCAATAATACTTCTCCTTATTAATTTATCCTAAGGAAATAATTCAAGTAAGAATATATTTGCCTCCAAGCATATTTGTTATAATGTTTAGATAATAACAAAAATAGAGGAGTTAAAATTTTTATTGCAGGAGAATTTAAAGAACTTATTACATCCATTCAGTAGGATATTTTGCATCCATGAAAAAATTTAAGAGTGAAAACTATGTAAAATACTTTTCTATGAGAAAAAGAATAAAAATCCATTTGTATATATAAATAAATTGGAAAACTATACATGGGGAGAGTAAAATAAAGGGAAAGGATAGTAATTTTCTTGTAGTAAACAATGGCTTTTTTTCTTTTTTCAAGCTATTTCTACTTTTTTCTTTTTCATGAAGAAAAATAACATAGGTTAGAATGAGTAATGGAAAGTTAAGATTGCACCAGCCTTCTGTGGGAGATAGTACCAGATTTTGAGTGCCTGGAGTTAAAGTTTTAGTCAAATCCAAGACAAATGGAGGCAGGTTGTAGTTTAACAGATTAAACGTAGCAGCAGCACAGTGGTGTGTGGTAGTGCTAAAGGGCCTGAGAGTGCTCTGTGATGCCAGAACTCTGAGAACTGAAGACTAGGAAAGACTGGCAGGGAACCTGGTCTGGCCGCACGGTGCCTCTGAGACAGACAGCATGGTTTGTGGATCTTGGCTTTCCGTGACTTTGGGCAATTCATCTCTGACCTTCAAGGTTGTCTTCTTTCAAATGCAGTTCTTGGAATAGGCATTACAAAAGCCATCTCTTTGTCCTCTATCCCCCTATTCTCCCTTCTGCCCCAGATATACACGGAATAATAGACTAGGGCATCTTTTCTGTAAATGACAGTTGTAAGGTGTACTCTGGCCATGTTTTTCCTGTTGTTAAGAGCCAGAATCAATCCTAAAGCCAGAGAAAATTGAAAATGAAGCAAGTGCTCCCCTGTTTTAAAGCACTTGATTATAAAAGTTAAGCCAGAATTGCCCCTAAACCCTTCCCTGGCCACTGCCCAGATGCCACGGTCTCTGATTGTACCCTTCTTTTGGGAGCCTTTGAGAAAGAGCAGGGCTAAAAAGGAGAAACATTAGATTTTTGTTTCCATGACTTCAGCCTTAGGCTTTCTTAAAACCCAGGTAGTAAGTAGCTTTTGGAGCATAGATGGCTTCCATTGCTCTCACGCTTATCTGATTCTCTGCCCATCCAACCTTACTGTCGTCCTGCCACAAGGACAGGATCTGAAAAGCTGGGCACATCCAGCTAGGACCTCATCTTACATATGTCATTGCATTGGAGAGGGACACAGACATGAAAGGAGATACGGGAACAGCAGCTGCAGGCGCTGACAGAACCCCTGTCTCTTCCCAGAGCTGGAAAAATCCATCTTCCCTTTCCAAGAGTCTCCTGGGCTCCCACAGGGAGAGTTAGTGAGTAAACAGAAAGAATAATCAAGGTGTCTTCGCCTTGAAGACTTATTCAGGGCGAGAAAGAAAGTATTGCCCTGCAGTGTTCGGATTCTGAGCCTTTTATCCATGAATTTTATCAAACGTTTGCCTGTAGCTTCCTAACACACATGCTGTTCCTCCCACGGGGCTAGATGGAGGAATTCTTTCTCACAAATGGGGACTTGGTGCTTGTGCTTGTGTGTGTATGCGCACCTACCTTGATATAGAAAAAGAGGGAGGGAGAGGGAGGGGAGAACAGAAGCGGGTGGGGGAGAAAGAAAGGAAGAGAGAGACAGAGACCAAGCAGCAGGGAACAGTGAAAGAATGTTAGCTTTGGTGCCATTCACTCATTGATGATTCTGCAAATCTTCTTGATTACCCAGCATGCAGCCAGCACTATTCTGAGCATTGGGGATGCAGATGTGAACAAAGACAACACTCCCCTTGCTCTGGTGGAGCTTGTGTGCTGCAGTGGGAACAACCAACCAACCTATCAGAAAAGCATGGGCTCTTTGGTCCTCTCCTGTGCCATTTAGCTGACCCGTGATTTTGACCTCCTGAATGTTTCCTTATCCAGAAAATGAGGTTCTAACTGACTTCCAGAGATGTCTGAGAGTTTGTGACAAAGAGCCTAGTTAGAATCTCACACACAGAGGAGGTGCTGAGTGAATGATAGACAATTATGGTCCAGACAGGATCTCTCTGAAACTGTGAATCCTGTTCATTTGCTATGGAGTGAAAGAGAAAAGACAAGGATAAATGGAAAGAAGACTTTCAGGACTTGTAAATAACTACTTCCTGTGCCCCACTCCTCCATCCCTCCTCCACACTACACACACACTACACACACACGTGCGCGGTAGAGATATGAACGTTTCTATGCCTCTTTTTAAAGAAAAAGTAGGCAGTTGTTTTCTCTATAGTCTAGTCTTTAAAACCATAAACACTAACATGAGTTCAACTTAAGCATCTTTCAGAATCAAAGGTAAGTTTTGTGTGCAAGTTCTCTTAAAATAAGAGACCATGTAAAATAATGTGTATGAATTTTATAAACTTTGTATATAAACCAGTATAAAATAAATTTAAAAAAATAAGAAAGGTTAGTAAAAGGCTTTAAAAAAAGAGGTCAAGAAAAGACACTAGGATGAGCAAAGACTTGTGCATTTTATGTACACTCTCGTTAGAGATGGCATCTTTATTATCATATATTTGTGTGATTTACAACAGTGTGAGGCAGGTAATGTATCATTCAGCCATTTAACCAGTGTTAATTAAACTGGGTGCTAAAGTTGAAAGATGGCCAAAACTCTCTACCATTAGAACCTCCCAGTCTGCCAGGAAAGACAGACAGATTCCTATAACATAAATATGTGAATGGAGGAACTCTTTTGAATATGGAGGAGACAGTAATCTGTTTGGCCAGAAAATGAAAAACAAAACAAAACAAAAAGGCACCAGGAAAAAAAGTGAACTAGGGAAGGGAGAGAGAGGGGGTAAAAATATACAACAATGAAGGAATGAAAATCTAACTTTTCTATAAACATTTGCTAAAATTACAATTTAAAAAATTGATATTAAAAAAAAGAGATGGAATTGAACCACGTTTAACTAGATTTTAAAGAATGAGTAGGCTATAGGAAAGATAAAAGCTTCCTAGTAGTCATTGTGTACCATCAAGTCAGAACCAACTCCAAGCTGACCCTCCAGCAAGTTTTCAGAAGCAGTAAATCACATGAGGAGATTGCCCCGCTGGTAGGTTCAAACCAGGTCTCTGGGTTGGAAGTGCAACCGCTTATCCATTCAGCCACCACAGCCCCTACCTGCTAGTGTACAACAACATTGTGTATAACTTTTGGTCTGCACATTAGTTAATATGCTTTGAAATGCCAACTGATTTTTGAGGTTCTACAACTAAATGTGTTAAAAGTACACAGAGACGTTCTGAACCTTCCATAAAGAAAGCTGCGTTATGACATTCCAGTGTAAAAGAGATCTAAATTCTGACATATGATTAGTGTTATGACTTGATTACTTACAAGAATATAAACAGTGAAATGAAGTAGAAAAATAGAAATGTCAGAAATGTGGAAAAATATACACAGACTCAAAAGATTAAAGAGAAAGATGATAAAGAGAACATGCAAGTCCCAATAGCCTATAAAAACTTTTTTCCTTTTTTTTAAAGTAAGCTTGATCTTAAGCTTTCTGGAGGCTAGAAGAGCTTTAAAAATTCACTGTGGATTATCCTATTTATATCATTGGTATTAAGGTACATACTTCCTCTTGGAAAAAGAAAAACAGATTTTTTTCTGTTCTGAAAAGAATGATTTTTTTTTTAATGTGGATCTATGTAAGTGAGAGATTTCACGTTAATGAATGTGGATCATTTTAAAAGTGCAAATGAAGTGGTAAATGTGGTTGTCAAAAACATAGACTTGGAAGTCAGACTGACCTAAATTCCTATTCTGGTTATACTACTTATTGTAATGTGAAAGGTCTTAAATCTTGGTTTTTAGTTTGTATAATGGAGAGGTAAGAGGTGACTTCAACCTGCACGTCTTTGGGATTGCAGTGCAGCTTCTTGTCACTAGGCCACTAAAGCTCCCTATAATGTTTAATACAGTTTTGGGCCCTTAAGTGTGATTAATATAGCAATGATTCGTGTCTTGCATTAGAAACTGTCTCATAATTGCAGAAATGTTCCTGCCCTATATGTGAGTTTTAAAACAGACACTGCCAAATCCAAGTTAAGGCATTTATGTTATTGATGATGTTGTTGATTGCCTTCAAGTTGAATATGACTCAGTGACCCTGTGAACAAAATGAAGCCCCTCAACATGTATTGACATTTATCAGTGTTCATACAGTTTCCAGAGGCATGTTGTTTAGGAAATGGATGCCACTCCTGCTTCCAAACCTGTCATAGTATGTTATTGTTGTTATGAGACTGAAGATATCCTTTCCCAAAAGATGAGATTAAGGTCCTTATGGAGAAAGGTGTGTTACCCTAATCAAGGAGATTAGAGAGAGCTCTCAGGTCCTGTCTTGCGTGACTCTGTGGGTTCATGAAGGTAAAAAAATCAATGCATAATAAGTAGAAATATAACCAACAGTTTAGGGTTAAGGACTAAGCAAAAACCACTCTCATGTTTTGCCTATCTTGTTTCTTAAAGGTGGACGATTCAAACTGTGACCAAGAACTCCTTTCTTTGCTTCTGGATGCCAAACTTTTGGCGAAGTGCATCTCCACTCCTTTTTATCCCTGTATCGTTAACCACCTCTTGGCCAGCCTGCAGCAAGGGCGCTGGGATGCTGAAGAGCTGGCCAGACAGCTGAAGAAGGCCGGCCATGAAGCTGAAGCTGGGTCCCTCCTGCTGGCCGTAAGGGGAACCCATCAGGCTTTGAGAACTTTCAGCACAGCCCTCAGCGCAGGACAGCACTGGGTATGAGGTGCCTTCGCTGGGCCAGTGCCACAATCCTCAGTCTCCCAGAGCCCTGGGAAAAAGAACACTGTAGCCAAACTATCTTCCCAGAAGCTCCATATATACCAGATTGTTCCAAGTGATTCCAGCAATTTGCAAATAAATCTGTATTTAAATTATGAACTTGTTTCTATTGAAAATTTATATTTTTATAGTAACCTCCTAACATTCTTATTAAGATTCTTCTACACCACACACACACACACACACACACACACACACACACCCTATTTTAAACTGCCTTTTCTCAACAAAATACAATCAAAAAGTATCCAGGAATGTATTTCAAAAAATTGGAGGTAGGTAGGGTTGTGTTAGAAATGCAGAGAGCGAGGGAGCTGGTGGATTTGAACTGTGTGCCTTTGGGTTGGCAGCACAACTCCTTAACACTAAGCCACCAGTTCTATAACAAATGTCTGGGGCAACCTTTTCAGATGAGAAGGAAAAGTAACCTGGGTTCAAATTTCAGTAATGTAACTGAGCAAATTATTCAACCTTTCTGAGTCTTAGTCCATTATCTGTAAAATAAGGCTTATATATTTGTCATCTCACAAAGTTGTTCAGTGTGTATGTGAAGGCTCTGTCCGGTACCTAGAAATGACCCAGTTAATGTTAAATTTCTTTCTCCTCACTGGTATTACAATGAGTAGTGCATATATGGATTATGCCCCAGTTCTGACTATAATCAGATGATCAGCACTTAACATATAAAAATTGCATTCAGTTGACTAAAGTTCAGCTTAACTTACCTCAGCCGACATATTCAAACTGACAAATGTTCCCATCTGGGCAGAGTAACAGAGCTCTTATGTCCACTTACCAAAGGTACTGTTGATAGAACCTTGTTATGTACTGCCCACTCGACTGCAACTCATAGTGACTCTGTGAATATGCATGAATTCAGATATGAACAAATTCAGACTCAACAAGTCTAAACATGGCCCTACGTTGTGTCATCCTCACCATCTCTGATAGACTTAAGTCAATTGTTACAGTCACTGTGTCAATTCATCTTATTGATGGTCTTCCTCTCCTATGCAGACCCTCCACCATCCCAAGCATGATGTCCTTCTTCAAGAATTGGGCCCTCCTAACAAAGTGTCCAAAATATGTGCGATGAAGCTTCACCATCATTGCTCCCAAGGAACATCCTGGCTGCACTGTATCTAAGACAGACTTGTTCTTTTGAGAGTCAAACAAATTCAGTATTCTTTTCCAGCACCGCAACACAAAATCGTCAATTCTTCACTCATCCTTAGTCATTTTCCAGCTTTCAGATATTGTTGTTTTGTACTATGGAGTCAGAACCAACCCATAGCTGAACTTCTGGCAGGTTTTCAGAGGCAGTAAATCACACAGGAAGAGACTGCCCATCTTTCTGCTTTGGACAGCTGATGGATTTTAACTATGTGCCTTTGGTTTGACAGTAAAACTCCTTACCTCTAAGCTACCAGAGCTCCCTAACTTTGAGATATGTTGTTGTTGCTGTTAAGTGCCGTCGAGTCACAGGCAACTCATAGTGACTCTATGAAGGAGAGTGGTCAATACTTGTGTGTCTCTCATCCTCTCTCCAGGTTCATAGGGTTTCGGAGGCAAGCTGTTACAGAAGTGGATGCCGCTCCTGCCTTCAATCTTGTTTTAATCGGGGAGTTTAACCCAACACTGTCCACTATGGATAACCAACCATTAATGCATTTGACACATCAGCGTCACAGTGCTCAGTCTCACAGCAACCATGGCAAGTGGACACACCAGGGCTATATGACCTAGAGGAATGTTTGAACAAACACAATGAAAGACAGGCCCGAGGGCTGTGGATTGAAAGTCGCCCACATTTGGCTTGGCTGCATCGCTTTTTTTTTTAAAGATATGTAGCAAGTAATAAAGAAGACCATGGCTTGGATCAGGTGTCCCTTGCCTTTAGTCTAAAGTCCTTGCTCTTCCATACTTTGGAGAAGACCCTCACAGCAGATTTTCCCAATGCAACTAATCTTTTGATTTCTTGACTGCTGGTACCCAGGGTGTTGATTATGGATTCAAGCAAGATGTTGGCAATTTCAATCTTTTCTCCATCTAACAAGATGTTGCCTATTAGTCCAATGGTGACTAAAATTTGTTCTCTAGAAAACTAAACTATGTTTTCTTGATGTTGGGATGTAAGCCATACTGAAGGCCATAATCTTTGATGTTCTGAAGCAAGTGTTTCACGTTTTCTTCATTTTCAATAAGCAAAGTTGTATCACCTGAATAATGTAGGTTGTTGATGCGTCTTCTTCCAATCCAAGTGCCTCATTCTTCATAAAGTCCAACTTCTCGAATGATTTGTTCAGCATACAAATGGCATAAATATAGAGGGAGAATACCGTTCTAACACACATCTTTCTTTATTCTTGATTTTAACTTTTATAGTTTTTTTATTTTAAACCAAGCAGTTCTTGATCTTAAACTGAACAGTTACTCTATTTTTTACTCTTATTCTAGGTATTGGTTCTAGCATTTTCATTCACCTCAGTGTTAACCATGGCTTGTGATCCACACAGCCAAATGTCTTTTCATAGTCACTAAAACAGACATCTGTAACAAGAACAAGGGCCATGTGGAAATAGTCACATCTGACCTTATGAACTCCACGAAGGGAAACTGCCCCCCTTCAACAACAAAACAAAAAAAATATTTCACATGAGGCCAGACACTCTTTCACTCTCCCATGATCCCCTTACCTCTTTCTACTCATCCCAACACCAATCTGACTGCTTTGCCAGGTCCAAATCTCTTATGATAGCTCAGAGACCACATAGACTCATATTAGAGATGTCAAAAGGCTATATAATTCAAGTACACTCACTCAGGACAGCAGCAGACACGTGCTCACGGGTACCTCAGCCTTCAGGCTCATGGCTTTAGACCAGTCCTGTCAATTATGGCCCTCCACCTCCCTCTCCCCCAGTCCTCCAGCAAACTTGGGCAGAGGCTGTTAGTTTTGGTTCCCTGTGGGGTAGCCCATGGTCCTCTGTCTCATGTCATGTCTCAGGTTCTCAACTCCTGGCTGATACAGCTGCGCTCCCATAAGGCCCTTGTCTGACTTGTTCAAGAATCTCTGGTCCCAAAGGACACACTACTCTTTGCTGCTTATTTTCTGGTCATGAGCTTCTCAAATACTGCTGTTGGATCTGCTCAATTTAATGGTAAAACTAACCAATTCCTTTGTGGATAGTCTAACATTCGTAAATTACAGCCCATCCACATGAAAAAGTCAGTCAATGGCTCAGGATGTCATTTTGAACCAAAAACCCCTTAACACTGCACCTTCTTCTGGCTTCCTCTCCTTTAAGCCACCTTCCATCTGACAGTGATATCTCTGTTCCCCTGCCTTCGAAATCTAGCTTGAATTTCTGGTAGTTCTCTGTCCATGTGCTGTTCTTGCAGTTTTTAAATAATCTTCAAGATTTTATTTACTAATGATATTGTTTGATAATGTCCACATTCTATTGGATCACCTTTCTTGGGGATGGGAATCAGTATGGATCTCTTCCAGCCAGTTGACCAGGTAGCTACCTGTCATATTTCTTAGTACATACTGGTGAGCACATCCAGGTCTGCTTGTGTTTCTTGGAACATGTCCATTGGTATTCCATCTTTTTCTGGGGCTGGGGTGGGGGGGCTTGTTTTTTTGTTAATACCTTCAGTGAAGCTTGAATTTCATCTTTATCCACCACTGGGTCTTAGTGATTTGTATGTTGCTCCTTTTTTAATAATTTGGATATGTTTATTTTTAACAATCTCAATCTCTTCTCCGTCTACCATGATGCTGCCAGTTGTCCTAGTGGTGAGAATCTTCATTTTCTTGATATTGAGCTTCAATCCATGTTGCAAACTACACTACAGTCCTTGACCCTCTGCAGCAAATGCCTTCGGCTCTCCTCGGTTTCAGCAAGGTTGTATCATCTGCATAAAGTAGATTATTGATGAGCCTTCCTCTGATCCTAATATCCATTCCTCCTGATAAAATCTAGCCTCCTGAATGATCTGTTCTGCACATAGATTGAAAGATATGGAGACAGGACACATCTCTAACACACTCCTTCCTGATTTTTAACTATGTAGTATTTGTTCTGATGACTGCCTCTTGGTCCAAGTATAGGTTTTGTATGAGCAGTCAGGTGTTCTGGGATTCCCATTTTTCCTCAAGGTTAACCACAGTTTGTTGTGATCCACACAGTCAAAAGGCTTTGCATAGTCAATGAAATACAGACATTCCCTCTGGTACTTTTTCAGTCAAGATTCATCTGACATTGGCAATAGTATCTTCTAGTGTTCTAGCCTCTTTTAAACCCAGCTTGTATTTCTAGTCATTCTCTGTCAATGTACTGTTTACATTGGTGCTGGATGATTTTCAGCAGGATTTTGCTTGCATATACTATTAGTGATATTGTTTGACAATTTCCACACTGTTGGATCACCTTTTTTTTTTTTTTGGAATGAGAATAAATGTACATCTCTTCTAGTCAGTTAGCCACATGGTTGTCCTCCAGATTTCTTCACACAGCCTGGTGAGCACATCCGGGGCTGCATATCTTTGTTAAAATATGTCAATTGGTATGGGGTCAATTCCTGGGGCCTTGGTTTTTGCCAACTCCTTCAGAGCATCTTGAACTTCCTCCTCCACCATTGCTTCTTGGTTGTATCTTAGTTCAAGAAATCCTCCTGTGTCAGCCAATTATTTTTGGTACAGTGACTCTGTGTACTCCTTCCATCTTCCTTTGATGCTTTCTAGGTCATTCAATTGCATCCTTAAGTATTGCAACTCGAGGCTTGAATTTGTTCTTCAGTTGAAATTGTTAACAATTTTAGCTTGTTTGGTTCAACAGTAATCAACACTCTTGAAGAATCAAGAAATTAAATGATAGATTGCATTAGGAAAATCTCCTCTCAGGGACCTCCACAGAATGCTTACGAGGAGTGATGTC